GCCCCGACCTCCCCGTGTGGTGACCGCCCCTCCCCCGTTAACGTGTTTCTGACCGGGGAGGTCCAGCATCCGGGGTCCCCTCCGCCGCGTTCGCCTCGCGCTGTCTTCCCCACGTCTTGCTCCCCCAGGGTCTTTAGCCCGATGTCCCCTGCCGTGGGGAGGACTCGGACCCAGCGGGGTCCCGCTTCGGGTCTCGGGGGCTGCCGGGAGAGCTCCGTTAGCGCGCCGGGCGGCGCCACCGCCACACAGCGTCGTAGGTGGCAAGGGGCCGGCAGGGACCTGGGGAGATAGTCGGGTGCAGGCCCCCCCGCAACAAGCAGGGAAGACAAGACATCTGCGGGGCTCCGGACGCTGCCTGGTTGAGACCCGTCGCGTTGCCACCGACGGCCATCGAACCAGAAGGGACCGGCGGGATCGTCAAGTCCGCGGGCAGGAGGCGACGGGGCTCGGACGAGCTCAGCACGGTGCTTGTCCAACCTCGTCTCGAACACCTGCAAGGGGGGCGATGGCACCACCTCGGCTCTGCACCAGACGCTGGTGACCTTTACAGGCAGGACCGTCCCGGTGGGGGGGTAAATCAGGGCGACCACTTTGGGGGACCCCGCGGAGCTGAGCCGAGCCAAGCCTAACGGCTGCGGCCCCTCCTGCAGGACCTGCCCAGCGCTGGTGACTCTGTGCCACCGCCGCCGGCTTCAGGTCCGGCCGCTCGCCACCGCCCCGCTCCTTGCCGCCACCTCCGCCGGCTTCTTTACACCCGGGCCCCGCACGGACGGATTTGCCTCGGGCCCCTCACCCTGCCAGGATCGCCTCTGGTTGCACGGAAAAAGTTTTTTCTTGTGTCCAGCGTGAATTTGCCCTCTTTTAGCTTATCCCATGTCCTGAACCCCCCCACCTTCCAAAAAAGAGTTTGTAGCCATTTTTAAACATCTTTATGACCATTTGCTGGGTCTTTGGTTGTAGTCATGTTGGTCTAAGGCTCTTTGGGTAGATGTGATATCTTTTATTAAGCTTTCAGGCACAGTTGCCTTTCGTCAGGCGTTAGGAGTCTCTGCTGGTCTGAGACATACTTTACGACCATTTAGCAGTTCAGCATGTGACAAGTCTCACTGACCTTGTTGGAAGAACTCGTGTACGTCACGTTACACGTGGGCGTTTCAGTAGTGGGGACAGTGTTTTTTGACAGATCTG